GGCAATTATCAACGAATAGAGTAAACAGGAAATTTGTTACGCCGAAAGCATTTTATTCTAACAGAAAGCAACTACGAGCAGATGAAGCTGCGAATATGCAGGCTCGGATGGAATTAATCCCATGGGATTAAATGTTCATCGCGCTAATGTCTATCGGTTTTTTGCATACGACGAAGGAGCTTATGAATGATGCTACTTAGCGTAATTCGGGCGTGTATAACGTATTAAATTTTACTGGAAAAAGGAGCAAGAAGAAAAATATCGGGTTATTTTCCACCGTTCCCTTTTTTAACAAGCAACTGGTAATTGAACCCGTCCGCAAAACGATTTTCTGTAAAAATTCGAATAATACTTCAGGATTATTGCTCCATCGATATTTTTCTGTGTATCGATTGAATTAATACATTGTAAATTCCATTAGAAGTCTGATGTTCAAATCTTCGATTGCAGAATACCGGTGTTAAATTTTCCCTGCGAAATTTGTTTAGCGATTAATTCGAGCAATATAGCCGGTTGATCAGAGGATTTCAACCGAATTAAAAGCCCCGATGAAAGGAGTATTTAGGTTCTTCTAACCCCTTTTTCTCCTTCATCAAGCCCATAATGGGTTCCCGGGAGTCTTGTTTCAGCTCCGATTCTATCAAAACCACCCATCCAGGATCCTTTGTCGGCCGACAACCAATAGGAGACGCTCGGAGGAATTAATCTCTGGTGATTGCAACGTCGCATTAATGTCCGTTGACTTTCTCTGCGACCACTCGAAGAATAGCACGAGCTTCTCTGTAGTAACCGTCTCTCTATGGGTTCGCGTGTGCCGTCTCCGTGAAACGAACGACAATAAGCAGGGTCGTTTAGAAATTACACCAACCACCGGCTTCAACGCGATGATTAATGCGAAAACATCCATTAGTTCGTTTTTGCGGCTGCAAAAGACGCCGTACGGGAAGAACCGGTAATTCATGGCTTTCACCGAACAATTCTTACAAATGAAACGGTTGTAGAGACGGATTATGTTTTGTACTCCGCTGTGAATCTAGGAATATTTGAATGTGACGACGTTTTGATAGGAGCTTGTGGAATATGGGATCACTGAGATGTGAAGATGAGGGAGTTGAGGATACTGTTAATGTGGAGTCTAAGGATTGTTAATTGATAGTTGGTGTGGATCGAGAAATAAAGCAATATAGAGATCTAAGAGTTTAGCAAACTCTAAGATCTAGGAATATTCAGATTTAGAGATTTAGTGCTGGAAGTTGAGGATACTGTGATCTGGATCTGGGTCTAGGGATCGAAAGGTTTAGCAATATTTGAATCTAAGGGTCTAGCAATGTTGGAGTCTAGGAATACTCTTGTCAGATCTGGAGGTTTAGTGGTGTTAGTAGCTGACATTGTGATCTGGAGTCTAGGGATCTATAGGTTTAGCAATGTAGAGATAGTTCAGTGATGTTGAGATCTGGGAATACTTAGGTTTAGAGATGTGGAGTTGAGAGCTGAGGACATTGTCACGTCCTCAAATTGTCACATCCACAAATTCTCACACCTCTAAATTTTCACATCCCCAAATTCCCAGATCCCCAAATTACCACGTCCCCAAATTGTCACATCTCCCAAGTTGTCACGTCCCTAAATTGTCACATCCCCAAATTCTCACACCTCCAAATTCTCACATCCCCAAATTCTCACACCTCCAAATTCTCACATCCCCAAATTCCCACATCCCCAAATTGTCACATCCCCAAATTTCCACATCCCCAAATTGTCACGTCCCCAAATTCCCACATTCCCAAATTGTCACGTCCCCAAATTCTCACACCTCCAAATTCTCACATCCCCAAATTCTCACACCTCCAAATTCTCACATCCCCAAATTCTCACACCTCCAAATTCTCACATCCCCAAATTTCCACGTCCCCAAATTCTCACATCCCCAAATTGTCACGACCCAAATTGTCACATCCCCAAATTGTCACATCCCCAAATTCCCACATCCCCAAATTCTCACATCCCCAAATTGTCACATCTCCAAACTCCCACATCCCCAAATTGTCACGTCCCCAAATTCTCACACCTCCAAATTCTCACATCCCCAAATCACCACACCTCCAAATTCTCACATCTCCAAATTCTCACACCCTCAAAGTGTCACATCTCCTAATTTCTCAAATCCCCAATTCTAAAATTCCACAACATAATTCCACAAACAAAAAACTAGCTAATAAAAATAACGAATCCACAGACATACAGAACTATGAACCCTAACAAAATATTACCGAATAGACCTATTACCAAAAAAAGTGTCTTACCTCCCTCGCTATAATTTCACCCACCTGTTTTTCTAAAAAATAAATTTCATTACCTACTGCTAAATTTCATTACCTAAATTTGATCACCTTGTTTAAACAATCTACTATTTACATTACTTTTTGCTCGATTATCTTGATTCACCTTTAATCGAAGAATTACATCGAATCTCAAATTCAAATGTACCGTCGAACGGCTCATAAACCGGTTAATAAAAATCCCATCAATCAACTGACTCACTATCGCGGTTCAGAAAGGAACGGCCATACTAGAAGTTATCGATCGGTCTCGTGTACCAGCAGGAGACTCGCGTGCCCGCCAATAATTTAACACTGTTTAAACAGAAAACTTTCACAAAAGTATTCTACCAGTGCTATCGAGAAACAACTAACGACACACGATGATAAACAGAGGGAAAACAGCTGACTAAGTTTTTCTTGGATTTAGTCGAAACAGTATTTGGGTTCATTGACTCATTACTAGCTTTTAAATTTTAATTGACTCGTTACTAGCTTGTAAATTTTATAATTTTGGTATTTTGAAATTTTTAATGTGGAGTTGACATTAAATTTTTACATTTTCTAAGATTCTGTGAAATTTGAAGAGTAATTTTGGAATTTTTCAAGTTTGAAACTTTTAGAAATATTTAGAGAAAAGCTTTGAGATTTTCACTTCTTAAGAATTTTCTACTGTGTTGCGTGATTCACAAACAATTAATTATTCTCGAGACAAAAAGATTAAAATGTCAAACACATTTTTCCTTCATGATTCTTCATTATGCAGATTGTAATTGAACCAAACGTTGTGATGAAAAGAGTCAGTTATAACTATAGTATGCCACGAATGTAACACACTTGTGTAAGGTTAAAAAATACTTCAAAGGTTAAAAAATTGGCTCTCAAAGATTGTCCACATTCAAAACTAAGATATCAAGAAATGATCGATGATAAAAGTGATATGAATCTAAGAATCGAACAAAATCCTCTGATTCATGCTGCGCTTTTTCAACCCCATATCTTTCCACATTTATAGTTCACATTTGACTTATCTGACCCACTTTTGCCCCGACTTTATATGATCAAGTGTCCCATAAGGTTTTCTCGAATATTTTCTTATTAACTTTCCTCTGTGTAACTCCTTGCCTTATGGTATCTTTCATGTACTCACTTCACCTTTACAAATCTTACTGAATTTTTAGCGTACTTCAATTTAACTTCCTGTGCTTTGACAAGTCTCACTTGTGACTTACAAATCTGAGTTACTTTTGACTTACTTTTGACTTGCTCGTGGTTTACTTTTCAAATTTAGGTGCAACTATAATTTAACCAAGGATCTCTATATAAGATTTTAATTTTCTTTTGTGGTAGCCCTAAATAATTTTGATAAATAAATCTGATGAATAAATGACACGTCAAGGAGTTTAGATCTAATAGTTCTCTATATAAGATACATTTTAATCTTCTTTGTTATGGCTCTAAATAATTTTGATAAATAAATCTGATAAATAAATGACACATCAAGGAGTTTAGATCCAATAGTTCTCCATATAAGATACATTTTAATCTCCTTTGTTATGGTCCTAAATAATTTTGACAAATAAACGCCACGTCAAGGATTTAGATCATATAGCATAATCAAGAACTAACAAAATACAAAATTGACATAAGATTAACATTTTTTCTCTGGCTTTAATATTGCTGATTACTGACCCGACAAATTCATAAGGCAAGATATATTTTATCATCCTTGAACGTTCGTTTTTCCCTCGGTCCGAGTCTCTTATTATAGTATAGATAACGTGGCTTTTGCTGAGGTGTTGAGACGACACAGCCGCAATTGCGGTTTGCATGTCACCAAACGTTCCATGGCGGTATGTCAGGTCGGCATGCTAAACCACGAAATTCACTCTCTAAACCGCGATCCCGTGCTTGAGAATATATCTATACTGTCTGGGACGATTAAATTTTCTAAATTCTTAGATGCAACGTATTACCTTGCGTATTCGGTAAAATTGAAAGTACAATGCCGTTGAAATACATATTTTACACAGTTATCCTTTGTCGCTCTGTGTTGCATATTTTGTTCGACCTCACACGTTCTACGTATTCAAAAATTCATTTCTGAATGATTTGTGCATATTCTGACACATACGTGTATCATTACACAAAATTTCTTACGAGAAAACTTCAAAACTACAAGAAATCAACTTTCTTAAAAAAGAAATGATTTAGCCATCAAGTTTAATAAAACTAGCTTATTAATTTTCTCTAAGTAAAATAAATAATCAGCTGTGAATATGTATATAATACAAATTAAATATAAACAGAATTTATAGTAAGATTTATAAATAAATGACTAACCATACACGGTAACTAAAATTCTCAAAAAAAAAAACAAGTATAAACAGTCCATAAAAGAATTTCCCAAATAAACATCTACCGAAATAAACAGAATAATAAAACACGAAATTAAACACAGACCAATAAAACAAATAACGGTATAAATTTCCAGACAATAAAATTGATATTAAAATGAAGATCGTAACAACGTGAAACGAAGGTCTCAAAAAGAAATTAGTTAATACAAAGCGAGTTTAAAGATACCGTTAACTATCGTTTAAGATTCATTTATCCGGCAAAGGGTAATGCACCGAGGCAGAGGATATTCTTTTGAAGGAATAGAAAGCTTGCATCTCTTACCTGTTCTGTTGTTCGTCGACAGTGACAGACGGGAGGAGGGTTGTTACGCGTTGGCCGAGGCAACGGGGTTGCTCGCCCCGTCGCGATGCTCACCGGCCCTCGAATCGCTCGAGAGCGAACAGACCCTCTTTCGTCTGCTTTGATCTGCCAGCAACCCCCAAAACGAACGCTACGCCATGCTCCACGGTCCTGTTCAATTCACCCCCTGCTTCCTCCTTCGGCCTACGCATGCCAGGAATTCTGTAACGGGAACGTTTGTATTCGTGAACATTTTACTGACAATTTTCTTTACGATTATAATACATTTTCTATGCTTATTGAGAACTTGCATTTCACTGACATGAAGATCATTTATATTTCAAAGAGTAAATTAATGATGAAATGTAGGAAGGTTGTAAAGTTCAAATAAGAATTCGGTTCGGATAGGGAATAAGTGTGAGTCGATTTGGATCTTGTGAGTTCGGAATGTGTCGCGTAAGATCGCGTGGAGTCGAGATGCACCGAGTTGCATCGCGTGGATTCGGGATGCATCGACTCGGATCGCATCGCATGGGTTCGCGTGGATTCGGGATGCTTCGACTTGGATCGCGTGGAGTGGGTTCGCGTAGATTCGGAGCGCGTCGGATCGGATCGTATCGAGTGGGTTCGCGTGGATTCGGGATGCGTCGACTCGGATCGCGTGGAGTCGGTTCGCGTCGATTTGGATCGCGTGGAGTCGGTTCGCGTCGACTCGGATCGCGTAGAGTCGGTTCGCGTGAATTCGGAACGCACCAAGTTAGATCGCGTGCGTTCGGATTTACCGAAGCGTCGACTCGGATCGGGTGGATTCGGGATGCGTCGATTCGGATCGCGTGGAGTCGGGATGCGTCGACTCGGATCGCGTGGAGTGGGTTCGCGTGGATTCGGAGCGCGTCGGATCGGATCGTATCGGGTGGGTTCGCGTGGATTCGGGATGCGTCGACTCGGATCGCGTGGAGTCGGTTCGCGTCGACTCGGATCGCGTAGAGTCGGTTCGCGTGAATTCGGAACGCACCAAGTTAGATCGCGTGCGTTCGGATTTACCGAGTTAGATCGCGTGCGTTCGGATTCACCGAATTAGATCGCGTAAATTCGTAATACGTATACTCAGAATGGACCGCATCAGATCGTGTAAATTCCGAATGCATCGGTTCGAACCGTATCACCTGCTTTTTTATATACCTCGAGTACTCGAAGTTTAAAAACTGAAATTCTATCGGTTCGAATCGATTACTTGATTCACCACATGCACGATTACATTTTTAAAGAGAACTGACATTTAACAACCAGTGCTTTAAAGCACACAATTTAATCGAGAGAAAATAAAGCACATATACATAATAATAATAAACCGCAATTAGCATTGTAATTATTAAGTCATCATTGCAACTGTTAATTTACAAATTAATTACAACTCTGTAAAGTATATATTTATATTATTACAATCGGCCGTTGATATTCTTTGCCATGCATGGAAGCACTCGTTGAATAATTAAGTGATAATAAACAGCATACATCGAATAATCAACAAATTTCGCTTGGGTAAAGGAATTAATTACTGCAATTAAAAGTACCGGACTAAATTAAATTCTTTTATATTACAAACAAGTTAATAACAGAAGTTCCAAAATAATATTGCAAATGATTCGGTGCATAAAAAATCGAATCACCTTTTCGGTCTCACAGATTTGAGACACGATCAATTACACCGGATCGACTGCATTTGCATAATGGAACGGTAAAGCAAAGTCTGCTTTTCTCGCGGAATGAATGCTCTTTTCCATTCCATTAAGCAACGTTTACCGAAAAAAAAGGTGCGCAAATGTCTGGATAGAGAAACGACTGCATCCCGAGCCGTCTGTCCTTTCTTTCCCTGTACTGTCGTTATTTTTCACGACGGGCATGTCTCGGGGCGATTCGAAGAAGGGAAAAAGAGGTGTCGAGCGTCAAACCCTCGTAGAACTTTAAACGACATCGAACCTCTTTCAACCTTTTGCCCATCAGCCGACGCCCGGTTTTCTTGTAACAACTCAGTTTGCAAAGTCGAGATGATGCTCGTCGATAAAAGTTACGTCGTTTAGCGAGCGCGTTCCTTGTTGGCCGAAAGAACGAGCCCGGGGTGGCGCGGACTTTTCGAACGAAAAAGGGTCGCCAAGAACCTGCCAACCTTTCCATTCCGTACTTGCATCGGTGAGAAGAAATTGAGACAGATAGGTCTCCCTTTCGTTGCTTCTTATCTCTCCTACCACTCGGAACGAGATAAATTGTATATCTCTGCTGCAGTTTCGTAGACCGTGATACAACGTGCTCCGCTAATGGGAAGTTATGTGATGTCCGGATGGAGGTTGCAGAGGATGACCGGGTCATGGTTCGATTCTTGGCGAATGCTAGTTTTCAAAATCTTGCATATACGAATTTACAAACTTAAGAATGTTCTCAAATTTTTAGATTTTGAATTGGGTTGATTAGTTGAAATTGCAATTTCAGAGGAGTCAAGGTTTCATCTGAATTTCTTAATTAACATGTTTTGGGAATTGCAAATATCTAAATTTATGAATTTCTGATCAAATTAGTCAACATATTTGTGAATTTGAACCTCGAAGCTTAGGAGAATCTTCTCAAACAATTAAACTTCTTCACAAATTATGGAAAATGAAATTCTGAAATAACCAAGCTCCTCAGTTATTATGTTCTCAAATCCAATTCTGAAATAACTGAGTTTCTCAATTTTCTAATTCTCACATACCAATTTTAAAATAACCAAATTCCCTAGTTCTCATATTCCCAAATTCCTAATTCTGAAATAACAAAATTTCTCAGGTCCCAAATTCCCAAATCTCAATGTTGTCACGAACCCAACTTTTCACTTCCTTAAATTCTCACATCGTCAAATTACCATGTCCCAAATTGTCAAATCCCCAATTCTAAAATAACCAAATTTCTCAGTTCCCAAATTCTCACATCCACAAATTGTCACGTCCACGAATTGTCATATCCCCAAATTGTTCTGTCCCCATATTGTCCCGCCTCTATATTGTCCCGCCTCTATATTGTCATATCCTCAAATTGTCATATCCCCAAATTGTCACGTCCCTAAATTCTCACATCACCAAATCCCTCAGTCCCCAAATTCTCAAACCTCCAATCCCAAAATACCCAAATCCCCATTCCCCAAATTCTCAAACTCCCAATCCCAAACTAACCAAATCCCTCCGTCCCCAAATTGTCACATCCCTAAATTCTCACATCCCCAAATTCTCAAACCCCGAGTTCCAAAATACCCAATTCCCTCAATCCCCAAAGTCTCAAACCTCCCAATCTCCAGCTCACCAAATCCCTTAATCCCCAAATTCCCAAACTCCCCAATCTCCAACTCACCAAATCTCTCCATCCCCAAATTCTCAACCCTCCAATCCCAAAATACCCAAATCCCTCAATCCTCAAATTCTCAAACCCCCAATCCCAAAATAACCAAATCCCTCCGTCCCCAAATTGTCACATCCCTAAATTCTCACATCCCCAAATCCCTCAGTCCCCAAATTCTCAAACCCCCAATCCCAAAATACCCAAATCCCCATTCCCCAAATTCTCAAACTCCCAATCCCAAACTAACCAAATCCTTCCGTTCCCAAATTGTCACATCCCCAAATCCCTCAATCCCCAAATTCTCAAACTCCCCAATCTCCAACTCACCAAATCTCTCAACCCTCCAATCCCAAAATACCCAAATTCCTCTACTCCCCAAATTCTCAAACCCCAATCCAACCTAACCCATCCCACCTCCAAGTCTCCAATTCCCTTTCCCAAATCCCTGAATTCACAAATTCGAAAAATTGCGAAACGCTTACTTCTTCTTGTAAGACTCGCAATATACGAATAACGTGCAGCGCATAAAAGAAGAGGGAAAAAGAAGATCGAGAACGCGTAAATGGGAAGGGCACGGAACCGGAAAGAGGGAAAAACGCAAAGGTGTAGGAAAATGGCACGTCCTAGTTGAAAACATAGAGCATCCTGCCATTTAAGCGAATGCACACCCCTCTGCTTCGAGCACCTGTACAAAATACACGTGTGTGATACGTGTATCGATTTCGTGGAAACAGGCCACCGGTATCACTTTGCCACGTACATCGAATCTATTCTGCCTTTGAACATTCTCATCCTTACGTAACGTTGATGAAAAGTGCGTGCGCGCAAAGAAGGTCTTCCTGCACCGACATTCAGACGAAATTGATTTTCATATTCGAAAATGTTGTATGGCGCTGATTGCGATTTGTTACCGGGGAAAATTATTGCGTCGTTTAATCGCATTTTTTAACTTACAATTTTCTTTTACTTTTTTTCTATTTATTTATTTATAGTCAACCACTCGTGGGTTATTAGGGACTCCCTAGAATTTTATTAACACGTTGACTGCCACACTAAAGTAATATTCAATTGCATCCAGTAGTGTTTTAATTCTTAACCAATTTTTTTAAATATTTGCACAATATCTTGTTACATTTATTTTCCATAGATCCATGTAATTAATGCGAGAATTTGCGGTTAGCAAAGTGAATAAATTTTTAACAATATACATGTTAAATCGGTGTAGATACTCAAGTGTCACCCATATATGGGTGACGTGGCAGTCAACGTGTTAAATAAGATTGGGATTTTAAATGAATTTTATACAAAATTTCAGTTTAAGGTGAAAATATCTGTGAAGACTCTAAATGAATTTTATACAAAATTTCAGTTTAAGGTGAAAATATCTGTGAAGACTCCTCGATACCAGAACTTTAACTGGACTGATACGAGTTTTTCTTTCACCATCACGCTGGTTTTTCCTCTAAAATTCAATCGTCCGTCATTGAAGTATCCTACAAAGTTTGATTGGATCACGTGTAGCTTTTACCCGTTACAGATTCGTTGATTAAACCTGAGCTAATCGTCGACCGTATCGATTTGGTCGCTACTCTGCTTCTGAATATCTGCTTGTTAATACTTTTCCGCTAACGGAAATCACCGATTGCGTATTAATCAATTCGTATTTCCTTTTTTCGTTTTCGATTTCTACAGATAACTGAATTTCAATTAGGATGAACGAAGTTCTCAAAGCTTTTGATGCTCACAAATTACGAAATTATAAATGTGTAGGATCAAAGTTGGAGATTGGAAGGATACTAATTTTCATAAATTGCATGTTTCTGAGTGTACAGTGGATTGAAAGTTCAAGACTTAAA